ATTTGGGTTTTGGGGTTGTGAATGTTGAGAAGGAAGAGAAAGAGGTATCGGGATTTGAGTGCTTGAGGATTAGGGCTTTGGGAGGGTTTATGGTTGGAGTATACTGGGCCATTTGCGGCGGTTGAAATTGGAGTCTCGCGGTGGCCGCAGATTCAGCCGTTGCGCTGTTATGTACTGTCGTTGGTTTTTACTTTTTAATTGCGTGAGGCATCAGCCGTTGGTTTTCAACGGTTAGATTTGTATGCTTTGATCTAAAGGATCAGAAAACTTGAAAAAAAAAAAAACGAATAAAAATCAAACGAAAACTAATGAAAATGGTTTGAAAATTTTTAGTTTTAATAAAAAAAATCATATTATAAGTTTAGTTTAATGATTAGTACAAGGCTCGTATTAAAGCGAAAAATGATCAAACTATAATAAATTATGATTTGTCGATTTTACCCATAACTTTTTTAAGTTGAGTTCCAGATTTTTGTCGTTAAAGGAGTTCATCATTGTTTTGCATACCTTCTTCTTTTTCATTGAAACAAAAATATAGATCCTCATGCTATTTAATTTATCTTTTGTATTATTTCATTGAAATGTAATCGTCGTTATCATTCATAATGTATTCGAGGTACTGTTTTTCAATTTTTCTTCATCAGTGGAGTTCATCGTTTGTTTCTCCAGAAAATAAATTTAAGATCTGCATGCTATTCAATAATAACAATGGGTCAATGTTTCTGGACTGTAAAAATAAACTGTTTCTAGATTTTAAGTAACACTATTTCTGGAATCTAAGTTACTGTTTATGGAATCTAAGTCACTAGTTATGGATCCGAATGAAATATACACATTGTTTTTTAAATGTAAGCTAGAAAAGAAATAGTGAAATTCACTGTATTTTGATTCAAAGCAAAATAAGCATCATGTTTCTTCAATATAATCAAATGATGCATGAAAGAAAAGAAACAATCAAAGGTTAAAACATAGACTGATTTTGGAATCTAAGTCACTATTTTTGGAATCTAAATCACTGTTTCTGAAATTTAAGTCACTGTTTCTGAAATTTAAGTCATTGTTTCTAGATTTTGATTTTTTTTTTCTTTCCAGATACAATGTTTGTTTGTGCACAGACAAAACAAGCACTGTATCTGATTTTTTTTTTTTCTAGAAACAGTGTTATGTTTTGGATTCTCCATAAACAGTTTTATGTTTTGATTCTTTTTTTTTTCCAAACACTTTTTCGTCGGTTTCTACCATTAAACTTCTTTGAACTTGCTTCGGCTACTTTGGTCTGACGAATGCTTCCTTTTTCAACTTTGATTTTGTTGTTTTTGAAATGGGGGAATTTGATTTGATAAGAAGACAGGGAGTTATATGGCGGTTTCGTGCTGGGTTGAGGTTGGTGAAGAGTCAGGACAGTATCGAATCATTTAGGGGTATTTACAAAAGTGTAGATTTGTAGCAGGTTGGGTTTGTAAGTTTGACCCGTGGACAATAGTTTTGGATGGTTTTTTATTAAACTTTGAGCCTTTTTGGTTAAATAACATTTTGGGATGGTTTTTGGTTAAATATTTGTTGGCCTAAGCTCTTTTCATTAAAGCTCCCAAAAATCAATTGAAAAAAGCTTGCAGTGTCGAGGGCGGTTATGGGTGGTTTCCGAATATGGGGGCGGCTGAGGAAGACTGGAAAAATGGAGGGGTGTGGGTTAAGGATTGGGATAGGCAATGGAGAAGGGGAAGCACGGTGACGACGACTGCATGAACATACCATCAGACAAAAGCTTAGTTTGGAAAGAAAACGACTTATTAATTAATGAATTAATGTAATTTTACAAATGATAAGTGAAACGTAATTGCATTTCATTAGAGCTTGTTCGTATGATTAATCGAAAAATGGTTATTGATGTGCAACTGGAAGGTATTTTGCACGATATATGGAACCTTGCAAGTTTGCAAGTGGTATGGAATCTGTGGAGTTTGTGTTTTCTCATCGAGAAACCAACAGAGCATCGCACGCTGTTGTAGCTTTCATGCAATCTATAGTGGGAACTTTTATTTGGAATTGTATTGGTTCCAATTTTCTTTTTAATATTCTTGTTGAGGATGTGAACTTATCAATTAGACTTGATTGAATAAAATCTATAGTTTGACAAAAATAAAAAAAATAAAAAATAAACAACTACATTTCATCATTATTCTAATTAGTAGAAGTATATGCGAACTAATCATGATACTCTTTCAAATCTTTATAGTAGTTTACAATGCAAGTCGATTTTTTATCCATATCACAATCAAGATTTATGTGATAGGAATTTATGTCAAATCACATGTTGTCATCTATGATTGCTACGACGTATCTCATGTTGAAGCAGATCTTACAAACAGAGCTTTATCAACAAGTATTTCGGCTGAAGATTTCTGAGATGAATCTTCAAGTGGTTTTGAGTAATGATGGGTTTAGTACGATTACCGTACCAAAACCATTATATCAATTACTTTACCAAATTTTTGGCATCTCAAATCAATTACCATTGTCGTGTCAAACTTTTAGTATATTGAATTTTGATATACCAAATAAATCGGTTGGTATGATATGGTAATAGCAATAACACTTTGACACTAAGCTATTTTATCTGGGCCAAAATTTGAATTTTTTCAAGTTCAATATCAAATATCATAAAATTTCGCTTCAATTATATGACAACAAGCTTTTTGTTTATAATTTTTTAGAGATAAGCCCTTGCAACTCATGTTTTCTAAAAAAAAACCTACATGTATGTAAACATCCAACAAAAACTCAGAATTCAAATAAATTGCCATACAATAATATAAGTAAAATTTGATTACAAATTATTTACAACTTATGCCACATTCCTTCTAAATCATTACTCACACACACTTGAATTTTGGTTTCAATCAAAAACATTAAAAACATAAGCATAAGATACGATATTACTATCGGTATTAGAGGAGAAATTTAAGTTCATGTCTATAAGCATAAGATACCTATGATGTATCAAGTCTGAGAACTATTTGCATACTACAACTCGAAGCTTTTTAATGTTTGACATGTGGTAAGCACATGTTTAAGCTCTTGAGCAGTCAGTGTTCAATGAACTTGCTCAACAGACAAGCATCTGTACATTCATCATGTGTCCATCACGTAGCACAAGACCATGTTAACCGTAATGCAATACACATCGGCCCTTCCAAGTAGCCAATGTCCACTAGGATATTGAACCAATGTTCTCTCATAATTATCATACATAATTTGTAATTCATGCATTTTAAATTTTGTAACTTTTGTGCACATTAATTTTTAATTAATAGAGAATTAAATCTTTAGTAGCCTATTCGACAAAAAAATTTTAATGTTATCACTCCAAAATTTCTATATAAGTCTTGGATAATTTGGCATGGAGACTTATTTTTTGCATTACATGCTGGTTCTTATACCACTAGTGAAACAAAAGTATTTTTGAACATGATTTTGCTCCCCTAATGACCCAAAATCTGTGATCATTACCTACTTGAAAGGTTGGCTACGAGCGAATATGGTTTCTTCTGTAGAACCTCTTCGAACACATGTTTTTCTTTATTGGGAACCTCCTCCTGAGGGTTGGGTAAAGCTTAATGTTGATGGGTGTCGCAAGGGAGAGGTCAACTTCATTAGTGTTAGCAGTGTCCTCAGAAAACTTGTCGAGGGCATAGGTTTCTGGTTTTTGTGCTAATCTTGGTCGAGGTGAGATTCTATGTACTGAAGTTTTGGGTGTTTTTATTGGGCAACAACTTGCATGGAATAATGAATTAAGAAGATTATGGTACAATCGGATTCTACTCTTGCGATTCAATTGATTTCAAATGCAAAAGTGGATAATGACCCTCTGGGAAGTTTAGTACTGAATTGTCGTACCCTTATGCATCAAAGTTGGTCTTATGAAATTCGTCATATCTATCGTAAAAGAATTTTTTGCTGATGATTTGGCTTGTTTGGGTTTGTTATGAAGTTTGGGTCCAGTGTTTTTGAGCAAGCTCATCCTTCTTGTCAGTCAATTATTAGTTGCATATATAGCTAGGGTCTCGTGGCCTCGTGATCTTCTTTCAAGTCTATGCCCCGTTGTTAACCAAAAAAAAAAAAAAACACTTTAACAATGCAAAACAAATGCTTAAGAGGAAATTGTAGTAATAGGCCCTCTAATCCAATTTGAGCAATGATCCCTCTACTAAAAATTCATGATCATTGGTTCCTTAACTTATCAAAACGTGTAGCTATAGTCATTTTCCTCAACTCAGTTAGAACTTCCGTCAAAACGAGTCAAGTGCCACGCACATGAGATTGAATTAACAGGCAAATATGGATAACCAAATGAGAAAAATTGTAGTAATGGTCCCTTAACTTTAACCCAATTAGAGAAATGGTCCCTCAACTTGAACTCATTTGAAGCAATAGTCTCTCAACTTTTACCCAATCGTAGCAATGATCTTTCCAACATGACTCATTTTGACGGAATTCTGACTAAGTGGACAAAAAGGACCATAGTTGCATCTTTTGATAAGGTAAGGATCAATGGTCATGTGTTTTTAATTGATGAATCATTGCTCCAATTTGATTAAAATCGAGGGACGGTTACTACAATTTTCTCATTTTTTAACTAACAACATAATGTCTAAAAGATGTGTTTGTTGATAGTTAGATTATTACTTAAACATTAATTAACATGTTAATTTTTTATTAATGACATATTATTCAGTATACAAATTTGATTTTTAAAACTTTAGTATCTGTAACATTACTTTTAACAAAATAACGTAATACTATACAATGTAGGACACGACTACAACGTGTAGGTGGCGCCCATGCCAAACAACTTTTCACATCACATGCGTCAAAAGTTCACTGCCACTCTTTCCCAAAAGTGTCGTCAAAGTCACACCAAATCCACCGCCTCATTTACCACCTTCACCGCTGTACTCCCGCCCGCACCCGATCCGCCCCAAAGCGCACTCCATTCCTACCCCTTGGATTCCGAAACCAGTCGTATACAAAGAGGACACGTCGGCAGAGGTAAAAAGGCGCAAAACACTAAAACCCCCGACCAAACCTTTCGACGTAATAAATAAATAAAAATATTCAATCTTCTCTCTTCTTCTTATTATTTTTGTTACCAAATAAAACATTGGGGATTTCCCTCATCATATCTTGCAACCCGGGATTTCTAGGGTTTCTGGTTCGATCGATTTCTCGATTTCTCGGTCGCGGGTGTTCGCCGCTCCTCGCTCACGAACGCCGCTGGCTGTTTCCGATTTGTCGGTTTCCTTCCGATCTCTCTGTACAACTCTGAAATGTGACGGATATTGGGTTAGTTAACTCAAAGCTTCTTTCTTTTTCCCAATTGTTCAAAAATTTTTTTTCGATTTGTTGGTCATTAGATGAAATCGTGGATTTGGGTTTTGGTTTATTTGTTCGGAATTTTTTTTTTTTTTGCCTTGTTATTGAGTTTAAAATTTTACTTATTGGATTTACTGGGTACAATGTAGTCGCGGAGTTGAGTGAGATTTTCGTCTGTTTTTTTTACTCGAAATTTGATTCTAAGACAGTGGAATTCTTTAGATGTTGGATTTCTATTCTGGGTAGCCAAAAAAATGTGTAATTTAGTTGATTGAACTGAATTTTGTATTGCTTTTATTGTTTTGATGCGAAAAAAAAGAAGAATGTTTGGTTATGTAGGAAAAAACCCAGAAGCGTGAATTGCCATTATAATGTACTGATTTTGTGCTTCTGGATTAAAGTAGTTTGTTACTCTGAATTGATGAGGAAGAAGAGGAAAGGCGGTGAGGCTGACCCGTACCCAGATCCATTGGAAGATGTGACATCACAGGCGGAAGATGTGACATCGAAGTCGTGCAACTCTAGATCATCGGCCCTTACATCGCATTATTCTCTAGAGGATTTTACAAGGTTGAAGAAGCGGTGCAAAGAAGATGATGCTAGCACTGAACCTGTGGTGTCGCATACAAGTAGGCTTGCAGGCATTGCCACTGCTCCGCCATGTGGAACTTCGTCTTTGGTTGCACCCGGAAGAGGTATCAAGAGGAAGATAGGGTGTATAGATGTTGCTACCCAGATGGGTAGGAAGAATAAGATTGAAGAAGATTATGTTTCGGGTGAAACACTTGGGCATGGAAAGTTTGGGTCGGTTTGGTTGTGTCAGTCCCGGGTTAGTGGTGCAGAGTATGCATGTAAGACTCTGAAGAAAGGGGAGGAGACTGTTCATAGGGAGGTGGAGATAATGCAGCATTTGTCTGGTCATCCAGGGGTTGTGACATTGCAGGCTGTGTATGAGGAGTCGAATTGTTTTCATCTTGTGATGGAGTTGTGTTCTGGAGGGCGCCTAATTGATCAAATGATTCAGGAGGTTCAGTATTCAGAGCAACGGGCTGCTAATATATTCAAGGAAGTAATGCTAGTTATCAAGTACTGTCATGATATGGGGGTAGTGCACAGAGACATAAAGCCAGAGAACATACTTCTCACAAAAGCAGGAAAAATAAAGCTTGCAGATTTTGGGCTGGCTATGAGAATATCAAATGGTGAATACCTTGCCCCTATTTCAAGGATATTATTATTTTCTGCTTTTTTACTGTATGTTTTTGTTTTTCTTAACTGTTTTCCGATCGTAGAGCATCCTGATTCTCTATAAAAATGTTTTAAATGCATGTTCATATTATCAACAACTATCAAGAGCACACTTTGTAAGGGTGTGAGGATAGGGTCATTCAAGGAAGATTTTTATTTTTTATTTTTTAGAATGTAGCATTCTTAGTAAGATGGTACCTTCCAGTTACATTTAACCTCACACAATAATGAAATATTAAATCAGGACATGTATCCTTCTGGAGGATAAACTAAACTTCAACCTGTATATAAGAAGTATTTATGCAAGATCTGTGACTGTGCTTGAGCAGGCCATATGACTGTATCTTGTTAGACAGAGAAATTTTGTCAGACTTTTAGTGCTCTTATACGTGTTCTTATCTTCTGCGGGTAGACTTTCTTACTGAACTTTATGTTTATAATCATACATGTTTGTCTGCCAGTTCCATGCAGGAAAGACATAAAATCAAAGGCTATCAAGGCTTTAGTATTATCCTTTGGCTGCGTGCCTGGGTCCATCATTGTGAAATGATACAACTTCCAGAGCCCTGTTCTAGATTGAATTACTGTATTTAGTTTATATTAAACCTTTAAGCTTATGTATCTCTACTACAACAGTGAGATCTTAACATGTACTCAGTTCTTGGTTCTTTTACCCAGGTGACATATATCTATCATCTGTTATCATTTTATTGGGACTCTCTTTCTATATTTCTTTATAATTATTTTACCAGAAATGTGCTGATATGTCATTTACAGTTCCTGGTCTCGTTCCAATATCTGTTGATGCTGCACTCTCTCAACTTTAGGTACTTAAATTTGTTAGATCTAGTGGCAGGGGCTGGTAGCTTTCCATGTCAAATTTTTGACGTGATCCAATAAGTAGTGTGATAGTAATAAGTGGGAGCCTGAGTTCCATTGTGATCATTCATTTATCAATATTGTGTTCAAGTAGTATCATTAAAGAACATTATCTTTATTGGTAATTTTGTAAGATGTCGACATGTTTCATTGGAAATCTTCATAGTAGTTTGTATCCTCTATTTTGTATATTGATTAGCTGATTGCAATGTTTTCTCATGCTTTCTGCAGGTCAAAATCTGACTGGTTTGGCTGGCAGTCCAGCTTATGTTGCACCAGAAGTTTTGCTAGGAAAGTATTCTGAGAAGGTGGACGTCTGGAGTGCTGGTGTCCTCCTCCACGCACTCTTGGTTGGCATTCTTCCATTTCAAGGAGACTCCCTAGAAGCAGTTTTTGAGGCAATTAAGAACGTGAAACTTGATTTCCATTCAGGCATATGGGAGTCAATTTCGAAACCTGCTCGGGATCTTATTGGGAGAATGCTGACAAGGGATGTTTCAGTACGGATAACAGCAGATGAAGTACTAAGTAAGTTTCTGGTCATGCGTAATATTAGAAGTTTTAACTATGTGCAACCTCTTTGATTAGGTTTATGCAACCCCTTTCACATGTTTGTAAAAAATTTCATGTTCATTAGCTGGGAGTTGCTCATATGCGATCTGTTTTGCGTTGGAGGAAAAGTACAACTAATTAGCATGTCGATGGACATTTACTTCTATAACTTGTCAACCATTGCCTTCTATATGATGCTTGTTCTCAGATATGTCATCTGTGGTGTTTTTGAAATATATTAAGATGCGTTTCTTTCCCTCCATTCTTTACAATTACGCACATGCTGGTTGACTAGTTACGGTAATACTTTTGGGAGTTTTTAAGGAATGACCAACTAGCAGACTGAAATGAAATACTGTATGACAATTTTTTATTATAAATATAGTTATAAATAAATTATGTTACTTGTTCTTTTTATTTTGGTTTACCAAAATCTTTCTTCTCTCTTACAGAGTATTTAGTCTTCATTTTTTTTAAATACTTCAATTGGTACACATGAAATTGGCCAATTTGGCAGCTTTTTGCTCAATTTCTCGTGGAGAGAAATTATTATCAGTACTGAGTCAAGTGTTAAGCCATCCCTGATTACTCAACATTTATAATACTTTGTCCTTGTTACTTCTCTCTCTTGACATTGCTACAAAGGCATTGTGTTTTCTGTTGATCTTTATGTTATGTATTTCTTTTGCAATTTTTAGTGGTCCAAACAAATGACATATATTTGGGTTTTCTCAGGGCATCCATGGATATTGTTTTATACTGAGCGAACACTAAAGGCACTAACCATTAAATCAAGATTGAAGAACCCAGCAGGAGAACCTTCTCGCCAGCTTGTCATTCCACCCAGACTCAAGGCATGTCTAAACCAGTCAGAAGATGGCTCTCTCAGTGAAACTTCAGGTCTCCCTTCATCTTCTGATAGCTGCAAGTCAGAAGATGGGGGCGATTCTGGTTTAGTGGACTGCACTTGCCACTGCAGTTTCACATGTGAGAATTTCTGAGCCAAAACGGAGCAGGGTGTGTGGTCCAACAGGTCGTCCAATCGAGCAGCAGTGTTCATCTAACATGAAAGCTAACAACCTCTGTAAAGCGTTTTGACCCTGGTGACAACCTGACACCTTCAATATCATTATCTCCACTGTTTTTAAGCTGGGGAATTGAAAGTAACCTCCCGGGTAATTTTCAGTGAGCAAAGATAACAACTTGACATAAGTCGACTGGATCGAGGTAGTAGTTTGGGTGTCGTTTACATATTGCCTGTGAAATCTCGCTACAACTCTTCTTTCTCTTTCATATTTCTTTCCTTCAACCTAATAATGATTCTAACCTGATGAAGTGAGAGAATCCATGTACAGAATGAATGTGTAAATAGGATGCTGCATTGTATTTTGATATGTTTGAAAAAGTGTGTTTTCTTGAGCAATGGCCTTCCACCTGTGACTTGTTCACAGATTGTGATCTTAGTATAGTAGTGTAGTTAAAAGATCACATGAAAATTAAAATGCACGGCATGTTATTGGTTCGGAAGGCCATGGTCGCATCCTTGAGCGCAGGTAATTATTTCCCCTTCCATCTATGGTCATTTCAATGGGTTTGTAGCATATAGGTGTTAATGCTGGGCACTTTTAGGCCCGAGTAGTGGTGCAAGCCAGAAAGGGGCCATGAAAAGCCCAAAAGAGTTTGACAAGCTCAAAGGCCATGGGGCTTAGAGGAAGATACTTCCGTGCGCTAGGTACGACAGCCTATGAGCTCAGCCCAACCAGAATGTGTGACGATCTTGTCGAGCACAAGGGCACGTGGGCATATGGACAACTTTATGACGCGGGTCCTTAATGATAGGTCTACTCAAACATCAATCAAAATATGTGGTGATCCTCTATTAGTGGCAAGACTTCTGGAATGGGGAACGAACGACTGAAGAGAGAGTTCATGCATTAGCCGAGCACTATTTTCTTAGCCTTGCAGTCAAAATAATTAGAGTACCACAAAGGGATGTAGCTTAATGTTGAGGGTGAATCACTTAAATCTTTGGGTCCATTTCATTTTAGCTTGTATTCCACGTCCACCAAGGGTTTACTATTTCAATTTTTTTTTCCTCCAAGTTTCAGCGTAAACAGTTTGGTGCCGTCTGTGGAAAGCACTAACTATTTGGTTACGTTTTCTACCTAGTTGTCTTAGGAACTTTCCATGGTCGTGCTCTACCGAGCAGTATGACCAGCAGATGAATAAGGGATAAGGCCCTTCGGGCAGACCCGATGCGAATCTTGGAAGAAGAAGGCGAGAAGAGAGGGTCAAGCTCGCCAACCGGGAGGAAAAGATGAATGACATACTTGTCGACGTTGGGGAGATGAATGAAGTAGGAAACCTCATCGATGCTTAAACACCCTGCTTCAAGAGAAGCGTGACTGACCTATTGACTACCTCTTGGAACATAAGGTAGTTTTTTTAGAAGAAGTACTTCATGTGATTTAATAAAATAAAAAAAGAAAAAAGAAGGTACTTCATGTGATTTAACCCCCACCCTCCCCCCCCCAAAAAAAAAAAAAAACATTTCAAGTGATTTTTTAAGATGTGCTTTTTAAGTGCCTGAAAAAAAATTAAAATGTCAGTTGCAAGAAATTTTTACTGATGCCAGTTAACGGATGAAAAATGTGACAAATGATTGTGGAAACCAACAACTTTAGAAAAGAGACATCGAGTACAAATATATTTCAGAAGCAACGTGGGCACGGCAGAATTCATTAATTATAGGATGATCGGCTACAACAACAATACATGCCACTGTACTCTTGTATACATAATATTACAGGATTTGACCGTGGATTGGTAGACCTTTAATTTCTTTTGGTCTAATTGATAAGATTCTTTATGTTGTAGAACAAGTTATTTAGTTTAAGACAAGTTTTGTAACCAGTGGCAGAGCTAGAAATTGAGGTCAAGAGTCTTTTAGGCTATTTCATAATTAAATAAACTATAAAAGAGAAAATTTAGACGCTTTTTTGTTTTTTTTTTTGGGTATTAGCATAAATAATTATTTTGATACAATTTTACATTTAGGAGAGATTTGAGGTAAGTCATACAATATGTCTATCATAATAATTTGATATCGAACTAACCATTCGTGAAAAACGAACATAAGACAACCTACTTCTAATTGGAGAAAAATACACTTACTCTAATCACATTGGCATATATAATTATAAATTAAAGAGAATGATGAACCCAAAGTTTCAATGAGACATGAGTATTGACTCGTGAGCAAATTATACCATAAGCATAAAACTAACTGTTAAAAACATATGGTGGCAACACACTATGTATAGAGTGGACATTATTAAAATTAATTTTTGTTGCTTAATATTACGGTCTAGTGGTATTTTTCTTCACTTGTAAGTGAGAGGTCTTAGGTTTGATTCTTGCTAAAGGCGAATTTGAACTACATTATTGCTAGCCCATTGTAGGACTAAGCTCATTCCCCCCTTTAATGTAGATATCATCGTTTGTTAAAAAAAAAAAAAAAAAAATTTCTTCACCATAATTACTCTTTTATGCAGTTTATATGTGGTGTTATAACAATTTTGTAGGTTAGTTTGTGTAAAAGAGCAGGGTGATACATACTAACCTACAAGGTTGACTTGAACCAAATATGATAAATAAAATTATTTGAACCGAGTATTATTTACGTCACATTCTTTTATCTTGCTACAATTTAGGTGCATGTTCTCAGCATTTGCATTCATAAATGGCTTGCGTCACCTTCGAATGTCGACTAGCACGTGACCATCCCAATGTTCATGGAACATTAGGATCGGGACGTGTCAATACGATCCACTAAAATGGACTTAAGTCTCAACTGTTGTTTTTGTTTGATGGGATGAAACAACATTATTGATGGGATACATATGTTGGATTGAAATTCAAAGATAACAGGGGTTCCGTAAACCATCGTTGGACATGGGTTATAAGTCCAAGAAGAAGGCTCGTGCCTCCATTTTGATGGTTTCTCCTTGATCACTACATCGTCTTCTTCTCCTCACTTAATCATCTCTCCTCTCCCTCTCTCTAGATCAAGTTTTTTCTCAAATCTAGGTCGCACTATGGGTTATGGTGTTGTCAGGTTGTCGTTATGGGTGGTGATTGTCGGTTCGATGCTTGATCGTCATTGTTGGTTGCAATCTGGCGAGCAATGATCTCGTTCTTTCTCTCAGGTACCGTTTGGTACGTGGGACGGGACGAAACAGAGTGGGACAAGACGTTCCGTCCCACGTTTGGTGCGCTTAAAACGGGTAGAACGAGCTGTTCCACGGGACGAGTTTTGGGTGAATTTTCGTTCCACCTCACCCCCCTGGAACGACTCGTTCCACATTCGTGGAACACAAAATTATAACCTCTCTGTCTCCTTCTTCTTCCTCCTTGTTTCCATCCGAGGACATCTTTGCTCCCGCTCCGTTCCGTTCCGTCCTGTCCCGTCCCGTCCCGTCCCATTCCATTCCGTCCCGTTCCGTCTGCATACCAAACGATACATGAGGTATCAAGGTCTTGTTGTGAGTAATTTTAACATTGTGGGGTCATCAGAATGGCATTGTGGGGTCGCATGTCGTCAGCAGGAGTTGTAGTTTTGATGAGTGGGTGGGTTACGAGCGTTATGGCATCGCGGGTTGTTTAATGGTTCTGTCATGAGGGTGATCGATGCTCCTAGAGTTTTTTTTTTTATATATTTTTTTTAAGGCTACATCTAGCCCTAAAAAACAGGGAATCCGCACCAAATTAAGGACCCAGTCTTGGTTCCTTTTTTTTTTTTTTTTTAATTAGTTTAAAAACATGATTTTAAATTAAGGGTTATTTTTCAACTATTTGTTTGATTAAGAAAACATTAACAAACAATGACCGTTTGTTTGTGTGTTTTTTTATTAAGAAAAAAATGTTGTGCTTTGTGTTAATTTTCTTGATTGAAAAGTTCATAAAAAGGTGATAAAATTTATCATTGATAGTGCAAGGACCTAAACCAAAAACATGAACAAACAACATACCTAAATTGTAAGGGCAGTACAATTTTGTTATTTGAAAGCATATACAAGCAAATGGATCTAAATTGTAAAGTCATTACAATGTAGTTACTTAAATGCTACAAATACAAGACTTAGCTTATCTGTGCATGTTCATTTCATTCATGTGCAATCAAATTATTTCAGAGGGCGAGATGGGCATTTGTAACTTCCACTATACTTCATTACTAACTTGCTTCAATTAGGGAATAATGCAGATGGATCAATTACGCTGGGTGCCCTAATGTAACCTTGTTTGAATTCATTTCTAGATCATAGCGTAGCGCGACTCTCAACGTCCAATTATGAAACTAGACCAATATCATATAGTTCCAACGAGGCTTTACTAGCATAGGATGGTGAAATTAGCGGCCTTGTTTGCTTTGTTTCTTGAGCTTCGTTTTGGCCCTTTTCTTCACATCAGAGTGGGTCAGAAGGACGTCCTCATAGACTATATTGAGGAGTAAGGAAAGGGCTTCCATGACAATGAGGTCCTTATTGCATGGTGTTATAGGGCCTGGCTTGTTAGGCTTTGGAATCCACGACCTGTGCATCTCCGAGAACTGAAAGCCAAGAAAGCTTAATGCAAGCAATATAGGTAATCCAGCAGCAATCGAGAGCCGAAGGTCTGATTCCACCTAGTGGCCAATTCAACCAACAGAGAAAGCAACCCTAGCCCTTAGCGCAAGCACTAAGTAAGTAAACTACTTTTTCACAAAGTTAGCTGCTTGGCATAAGTAGCTTGGTTTACTCATGCGGAAATAAAATAACTAAGGAATTCATATACTAATCTTCTAATCTAGCTAGAGAAGTTTGTTTGTTTATTTAAAAGTAGATTGGGAGTTTAGGTAGATGTTAAATTAGGGTAAGCTTGACTATTCTAATATACATGCCACTTAGCTAAACGAAATCCTGAGTATCGACTGTCGTGCAGATGCTCCTGTAGGTAGGAGCTACTTCACTTTTAATGTTCAGCGCTCCCTTCAAATTGATATCCAAAGATTTCTTGTAATATGATGGTTTGAAATGATGGTTTATTACAGGTTCTGGTGAACCCGCCACGACAGGAGAGTTGGTTCCTTTGTCGTCGTCGAGGAGCTCTTAGTGCGAAGACTTTAGGATAAGTTGCTAAAACAAACAGAAGGGGACGATCGGCCCGTTCATTATAATTCCAAAGAAAGACTGTTGGCAGCATGTATTGACATTTATTTTGCTCCTCCGCTTCTCACAGTTGCTCTTTCTACATCCCCGAATATATGGTGCCAAACTGTCGCCCGTTTCCATATTTCTTCGATAATAGAGTTAGCTATCTTTGTGGCATCTATTGTACAATGGGTTCTCCCAATAACTAACAAGTGTATCATGCTTGAATCTAACTAGGGTTCGCGGTGGTGGAGGAACTAGGATCGAAAAAAAAAGGGGCTTTAGTTGTAAGATATCTAATGAAACCGTTGCTAGAATTGAGATCTCATTAAAAGAGAAAGATAAGGCAAAACCGATGATTTCTTAGTCACGACCGGCTAAAGCTAAAGTTCCATTAAAGTGCGTTTCCACAAGGTAAAACCTCCTTAGGAATATAAGGTTTTCATGAGGCTGATCTTGAGCCACCATCCAAGCACATATACCTTCAAGAATCGAAGTCGATTTGCTTTATAAGAAGAAGATATCAACGAACTTCTATAAATGGTTTCACGGTCTAATAACGAACCGTTCTGATTAGTTGATAATATTAGTTGATACTTTTGTGGAAGATTCATGTGAAAGGTTTCCTTAACTTCATAATTTATGTCGAGTAGACCTTGCTCTTGTGAGAGCTTTTTCATCATACTATAACGAGTGAAAGTGGAGGGATTTTTCGATATTAAGATAAAAGGGTAGGTTGAATTGTAACCACCACATGAGTATGAGAATGAGTTTCTTCGCCTCCTGACCTGAGATGAAGAGAAATGTCTATCTATTTTATTTAGTTATTTAGTTAAACCAATGAGTCGTTATTGTAGCAAATAGCAATAACCATTTCATCCGACATGTGTATTTTTTAGTTTCCAATGGATTTACATCTTTCATTAATGGAAATTTTTTGATGTAGTGAGTAATAGCTCTTATGGTTCTTCTCGACAGATTAAGCTACTTACTATAGTTAGGGTATTGAACAACGAGTGGCAACTTACCCAATAAGAAGTCACCTGAGTGAAAGAGACTAACAAGCGAGAAACTTGACTTGGAGAAAGAAAGGGACGCGCTAGCTTACTAATAATATAGGGCTTTTTTCCGCTTGATCAGAATCTATTCTATGCTTGAATAGCAGAAGTGCTACTAAGTAGTAGAAACTTGGAGAGACGTACTACTTTTTATTTGTTTTTATTTTTTATTTAGAAAGAATAAGTAAAAAAGAAAAAACAAAGAAAAAAAGAAGGGAGGGGTAGGGATACTTGCTTAGTGCTTGCGCTAGGGCTTATACCCAAAAATTATGACACGCACTAGATGTAATGGGACGGACAGGATGAAACCAATAAATAAAAGACTATAAAAGAAGATAACAAAAAAGATGGATTTGCCCTTGGAGTGGTGAAATTACTTTCTTTCGAGTGATTTTATTCATCAATAGGGGACCATTCCATACCATAGGAAGTTGCTTCTTGGAATGTCGTTGTTCAAGCGCAGGCTGACCAAGTGATCCATGCAAATGAAGAAGAAAATATCGCAGAAGAACAAGCTTACCTGCAATGGAGTCAAGGGCTTTAGCGCTCCTATTAGAAAAACAGCCCCTGGTGATGCATATCATGGTCCCAGAAGTGGTACAACCTCCTAGTATAAGAACCAATCTCAGAAAAACTAAAAGAAAATCATGTATTGGTCCGGGCAAATCCATTATAGGTAAAATAAGAGATAAATAACTAGAAATGTTTTTCATGACCTTATTGAGACTCGACCAAAATTATTTTTTATTTATTTTTATGAAGGATCTTCCTCACAAAGCCAGAGAGTATTCATAGCTTTAATTGTAGTGATGGTGTTGGAAATCGAATACTTCCTTAGCCTAACATGTTGAGACCAGAGCTTGACTAGGGAACGGCTTCTTAAAAACTCCCATTGTATTGTTGGGGTTCTTTGGAGCTTCATGTTCATCCACCACGTCGATTTTTACTTCTTCTATGAAATCTTGGATTTTTTTACTTAAAAGTCTTCAATGACAAAGATTTCACTACACTACTTATTACGTCAAACATTCCTCTTTCTACTTCTGACTCTCGTACGGATAGAAATGGAGGTCGGGATTCCCGCATCACCGCGACAATTCAATGAGCGAGACTTGCACTCAATAGTAGAACAATGAAAGCAGTAGTGGCACTCCCCATACTTAGATGGTCCGGCTACGCCTGGTTCTCCCTTTTCTCTTGATTTGCTTGCTCGAGGAAATGTATTCTGATTCCCCTTTCTTTTTATTAGTTTTAGGGTTGGGTCTGAGACTTGGAGAAACAAAGAGATACTTACAAGGTTGGTTGGCCTTACTCTGTCTAGAGGAAGCGTTGGTAGGGATTTAGAGGACCTTGATTGATATTGATTAAGTGTTGCATGATCTCAGTTAGCTTCACTTGGGGTTTCCTTCACATGAAATGCAATGAAATCTTATGGTTGTTATGAAATGAAATATTATATTGTTTGATTTCGAGGAATGTGCCAGGTAGATAAATAAACCAATGGATGAGATTGAGATTAGATAATCCAATTCAATGGTTGTTATGAAAAGAAATCTTATCTTGTTAGATTTTAGATCAAAACAAACCAACATATGAGATTGAGATAAGAGAACCTAATCTAACGGTGCATAACTAGCATAAGTGATGAAATATAACTTTGTTAAAATTTGAATATTTTTAGGTTGAAAAGTTCATAAAAAAATTAAGACAACATGTCCAAAAATCAACTTAAGAAAAGTTAAGACAAAAATAAATTTACTGCGTAATCAAATACTACATAGCTAAATATATAGCCTCATATAGAGTCCGGAATGTATATAACCTATCATTGGAGAGATTCTTTTATAGATCTCCACAGATTCCTCAGAACTCTAAATTGGTTATATCCATCATTTCTTCAGCCCAATATAAAATCCCTCATTGGGGATTTTCTAGCCAATCCTAAATATAATAACCTATCCTATCATGCTCACCGAACATGCCCTAAAAGTTTGTCACTCATGAGTAACACGGTCAGGCCGGCGGCGCCCCGTCATGCAAAGAAGAAATGAACAAACTAATGTGTTGTTTTCGGTTAATCTTATTGCCTATCCATAAATATAACCACACGATTGTATGCATATCTACCGTTGACCCCAAATAATATAATCACATCCATTTGTTGCTATGTTAATATTTAAACAAAAAAAAATCTCAATCTCGATGTCAAATTTTTATTTAAATTTCTTAAATCCTCTCGATGTGCCCTTTCTTGCCATTCACTTTGAACACAAGAAATTATGGAAGTGGAAAGCAAGGCCAAGCTATTCACAAAAAAGAAGAGGTTTTCTCACTCAACCATTCTCAGCACCATTTCCCTCTTCTCATTCTTTCTGATTCTTATCCTATTTCATGCACAACCCTCTCCTTCCTTCTCTCCTGCCTCAAAACCCCGAGACTCGAAACTCCGAAACTCGGTTACATTACTTCCTCTCAAAGACACAAGGTTTGCCAACACTACAATGGAGGGAAACACTTGGTTCATGAGCTCCTTGAGTGACACATTTGAAGAAAATGAATCCGAATACCTTTATTTCCCTTCCGAGGCATCCAACGGAAGGCTACTGTGCATCAAAGGGAACGACATAAAAGATGGCACCAAAAACTCATATGCCTTGGCATATCCTGATGGCTTACCATACTCCACCACGTTCTTGAAAGGCCTCGCGTTTGTAGTCTGACACATTCTATGACTACGGAAACTTGTGGCACAGGTTAACCGCCATGATGCCTTTCGTCGGTTGGTCTATGAAAAATGGACTGCGTAAAGCCGGCAAGATTGGTACTTTTCCACTCGGGAGAGCTTAGAGTTAGAGAGAAAATGGGGTTGTGGATTCAGAATGTGATGCAAGCGAATTTCAGGCAAGTGCAGGTCGAAGAGTTCGAGAAGGGAGTAGGGCCTTATTGTTTCGAAAAGGCAGTTGTGATGAGGCATAATTGTTGGGAAAATGGGGAAGAAGAGAAGCTTCAAGTGTCCAACTTGTTGAGATGTAAAGCAAGAGAGTTTTGTGGCATAAACCCTAATGGCAAACGCAGAGAGGTCAATGTGAGAGGGGAGCCAAACATTAGGTTGACGTTGCTAATGAGGAGAGGATCAAGATCGTTCAAGAATCCGACGGCTGTGACTGCTGTGTTCTCAAGGGAATGCGCGGCGGTGGATGGATGCACGTTAAAGGTGGTTCAGTCTGAAGATCTGGTTTTCTGTGATCAGGTTTGCTCTCTCTTCCTCTAGTAAGTTGTTTTCATTTTTCATTTCTTTATTCTGAAGAGCCAAAGTTCTAGGGTTAAACTTGTTGCGTTGACAATGACTAGGTGAACTTAGATGGGGTTGATGACAGATATTTCAAAATATTTTAGCGCTAATTGATAATTTAAGTTTGACTAAGTGTAGGTGTTATGATTAGTGAAAGTGATCACGAAGATCGTGTTGTTATTACATGTATTGTGTTAAGTGAGTATTCTGTATTTCAAGTTAGAGGAATGTTAGTATAAATACGTGACATGTTCAAAGGGAGTCATGCGCCCGTGTCCAATCCGACGCTAGAGCTTCCTAGTCAAAGTTTGTAGCTTAACATAACAAACTCGGTGTTCTTAAACAGGTTAGACTAATGACAAAAACAGACGTCCTTGCATCCCCATGGAGCCCAGCTAACGAACATGCTCTTTATGGATAGAAACAGTAGCATAATGGTGTTCTTTCCCAAAGGACGGCTGGAGCTTGCAGGGATAGGTCAGTATGCTCATCACTGGATGGCCGATCAATCCGGTATGAAGCACCGGGGTGCTTGGTGGGATCCCTATGCCGAAAAAGAATGCCCAGAACCTAACAAACAACTCGAATGCTTTCTGTTTTACAAAGACGGCCGAGTCGGTCACAATGAAACCTACTTTGCAGAGTGGACACGAAGTGTCCTCAAACAAGTAAGAACAAGCAAGTTAGAACAAGACATCGAGACTTGGCAGAGAGATTCAAACGTTTGCCAATGCTAGCTAGCGAAAGAGTTCACTACTTTGTAACCATATATATCTGTAACAAACATTTGATGAGAAAAATTGCATCGTTTCGTTTTCCATACAAAAAATGAATAGGGTATAGAAAAATAAAGATAAAGAGAAAGATGTGACTTCCCGCTAACATGATTAGTGGGGTTTACAGTGACAGAACAATGTTCTTTCTCAAATGGATCATTTCTCCCCTAGCGTTGCTCTAAGCACAGTACTTTGAGAAGCTCGAACGAAGATTGTAAAGATGTTCAATGTGTTTAGTAACATGAACATGTGGATAGCTTTACAATGAAACAAGTACTTATGTTGTCGAGGAAACCTCTTTTAGCCTTAGAAAACAGATGTCTGGAAGGCACTAAGTATCCAATCTTCATCTGAACAGTTTGGACCAAAAGTATACCACGAAGAAACAAAGTAGTCCAAAAGCCACCACGTGGATGACATGGTTTGATCCACTCCGGATGATGCTTCTGTTCAATCTCCTGACATTGTTCTTCAACCCTGCTTGACCTTTCAACAGCGTCATATGCTGTAACAAAAACAGACAAAGATATAGGTTTCAGAAAGCTGTATATATCCGCCCATCATACTGCCATCAAATTTCATTTCAGAAACTTCCTTTCCATCCACTAAAAAATTCCAAAAGTACAGGTAGGTTCTCCGATAATTGTTAAAAATAAAAATAAAAAGTTTTTCTCTTACAGTTTCCGATCTCTTTAAGTTCTTACTTGGCATCAATTTTTTATTTTTCACCCATTTTTTTAATTTGCACAATATAGTAAATTAAGCAGTTTATTCTATCATTCTTAAAATAAATTGTTGAATGTAGAATGTGGTAACCCATATCATCCATCATCCTGTGTTGTCCCAAATAAAGTGAAATATGAAAGCAACAATGTCTAAAGTTTGATGGCATACCAGTTGATCCAGAAATTCATTCTGGAATTTTGCTTCCGTACCTATAACTTGAGCTACCTGTGCCAAAATAAGAGAACAGTATTAAATTTATTTGCAATCAAATTGCGGAAATCAATTTTACAGGTCATAATGCACCATAATTAGGCTATAAGATGAACTATGAAACAAACAAATGTACAGAGGCAAGACATGAAATGAAAGCATTGGAATTTATGCAAAGCTGATTAGTTTTATCAGACACCAAAAAAGAACAGGCTTCAATGACTAACTCCATTAGATATCCATAACCAAGCAAATAAATACTGTACAAGCCCATCCCCCATCAAACCCAGCACTTCCTTCTACAAAATTAATAAAGAGGAAACAGCACTGTACAGGGAATAGATACTTTAACAAGGTTCCATAAATACTCTATAATAATTTTAAGACAACGGCCACAACACACAAATCTAACACCGGTCACTTCCAGATTGAGAAAAGAAATATACTGCACTGAAGCCCTCCTCAGAGTAGAGGAATTATGTAATAAGCAAAAAATCAATAACCATGTAATAGGATCTACCAAATAACAGGTGCAATGCAAGTGAATAATTACGACTAAAAATCCAAATAAAAAACATATGGCTCACGCAGACCATGACATACTTCAGCTAATAGCAACAAAGACCGAAAGTGAAGCGCTAGAGATTCGTAAAAGGGTTAGGTAACAGGAATACCAATAATGTAACAAGGATGGGACCAAAACAATATATATATAAGATTAACATTTCCAAGTTGCACCAAGATGAATTCAAATGCCCAAACAAAATACAGAAACTAAAAAATTCAGAGTGCATACATTTTTCAATCTTCTCACTTGGTTGTGGAGGCCGTTGATATCTTCATCCAAGTCAGCATGCATCGGATCAATCCTCAACTGGATTTCATCCATGTTAGCCACTGGTCTTGGGTTAAGACCCTCCCTGAAAAACCATCATTAATACATACATCGAACACAATCACACAAAATAGCAAATACACAGTGTAAAATTAATACCTTGATCTATATGGAGCCGCATTTCCATAGCCTGCCATTAGAAACCCTAGAGTTCGTGTTTGGTGAGATGGCTTAAGCAATCGTCTTTTATTTCAAATTGAAAGGTGATTATGTTATCTCGATTATTGCCCACTGTTAGCTTGTGAGCCTCCAATACCTGGCCATAGAAAGGATTTTTGTTATAAACCATAATTTGAGGGAAATAAACAACCTCAAAATATAAGTTATTTTTACACATACTTCAGAGATTTATAATACGCTGAAATATTATGCACAACGAAGCTTTAAACAAAAAAGTAGTGGCTTTGAAAACCAATAATATAAAACTAAAGAATATTTTAATGGTTTAAGTGAATATCCTACTGATGCACACTCCTTTTCAATAAAATTCATATTGTGTCCGGGCAACAGAATCCGGACCCGAGGTTTCCGATCAAACCCTAACATATTTCATCAAAAGAATTAAGCTCTAAAAAAACTACCAATTTAAACTGCGGCATTGCCTGTTGAACCCAATAACAAAATCACAAAACTGAGAGAAAAGTCCCATAATTTCCTATACAACACAATCATAATTTGACTAAACAAAAAAAACAGACCCAATTTGGATGACTGAACCGACCCAAAACCTAATCTCCTATGGGAAACCCTAAATTCAACGTATTAGCCAAACAGAGGCTTAAAATTAGGGTCTGTTTCAATCCAATCTACATCCAAATTCCTAACCCAAACCGAACAAAAATTTCGAAAGTACTTCCCAAAATTGCAATAAAATTGATAATTAATCACCACATTTATTCGAATTCGAAAACTGGCAAATCGAATCTGATCAAGCACGAAAATTCATACAATTTACAGAAGAAGCGAAAGAAAAGAGGCGAATTGCAGTACCTCCGTCGGCGATTAAAATCGCAGGAAGCGAATGACGACAGCAGCGAGGTTCCTGAGACGAGTTGGAGGGGAGAGGAGGCGGCCAAAGAAATGGAGAAGAACCCCGCGTCAGCACAAGGATAGAAGCTATTATTTCAAATTTTTTATTTTTTTTGGTATATGGCATTTCAAATATAATAGTGTTCGGCTGCTTACGTATCTCTACCAATCAACGTGTGACATGTGGTTTCCTTTTCTAAAGAATTATATGGAGCTTGTCTCAAAACTATGATTAAATTAGAGTTTTAGTCCTCAAATAAAAGAGTAATGTTACTCTTACTGTCTAATTGTACTATCATTTATATCATTTTTTTAATAAAGGTGGGACCCGCCAACGCATGTATAGAGATTGTACAAATAGATGATAAGTATATCATTTGTGCAAATAAAATTTGTGACATTTGGTTTTTCTTTTTTAATATTTAGGGGAGGGGAAGCTACCCATCTTAAGGTGAGGCATACAACTAAATACAAGTCCCTCTGAGGACTTAGAGAGGGATCTTAACCCTTTTTATTTTTATTTTTTTTTACAGATCGCTCACCAAAAGGGATTGACGTCAACGAGATTCGAACTTAGGAGTTGATCTAGCGAAGAGAATGATCTTTACCAACTCAACCAATCCTCTTTGGCATGACATTTGGTATTTTGAATTAGATTTGATGCAATAACTTAGAAGCGCTTGCTTCAGTTTACATTATTTAACTTTGTGTCATGTTTTGAAAATTTTAGAGCATGTTTGGTAACGTATTTAAAAAATTTCATAATTTTTCAAAACATTTTTTAAGAACAATTTTTTTTTTTAATATCCAAAAACTTGTTTGGTATGAGATTCAAAATTGTTATTAAATTTTAATAATTGAAATGAAAGGGAAAAATACCCTACAACAACTCCTATGAATTTGAGAATTACTACTAAATTTAATTGGACAAACACAGAGCCTTCTCGGGTTCGATACTCCGAGTTAGTGAGTCTGCTTGATTGTGACCACGAGCATGGTGAAATTCTTCAGAGCCTTTATGGGCCCAAAATGGGCAAATAACTGTAGCTTGCCACCAATTGTCCCCTATTTTAGAAAAACAAAATAAATAAATAAATTGGACAAACACAGAGATTCAAGGAGAGGGTCAGATGAGATAGAGATGAGAGAGAAAGAGGAAATAATGTAGAGAGGAGAGAAATTTGGAGGGGAGGAGAGAGGATCAAATGAGAAAAGGAAAGAGAATGGTATGATAGAGATAGAAGGCTAATAGAAAATGATTGGGAGTGAGAGGAGATGAGAGAGAAAGTAGTGGGTTTGAAGTTTAAAAACTCTAAAATCTTACTTCTTGTGTTTTTCTAGAAGTATGCTAGTTTTTAAATAAGTTTTTTGTTTTATTTTTTAAAACAGTCCCACCAAACAACTATTTAAAGTGTAAAATTTAAAAAGTGTTTTTGAGTTTAAAAAGTTAGATTCAAGTAAAGAACAAAAAGGTCCCTTAATAATCTAAACTTTTTTAAGTATCAGATTTTTGAAAATTTTCCTTCCCTAAATGAGAGTATTGGTATTTTGATTTGAGTTTAGCAAAAGCTTGTTGCTAATAACAAGGAATTAGGGAGCACTTAATTTATTGATTCAAATTGTAGCATGTGTGTCACACTTTTTTATATCTTGAAGTTTTGTTTCATATAGTTTATTTGGCAAGGTTTTTTTTCTAAGAACATCTCATGTGGGATCCTAAATCAAGTCTCTACAATCTTATATTTTCTAAATACAGGGACAAAAGACTTTCAATGGATTGGAATTGAAGTCCTTAAAGTATTTTAATAAATAGACTCATTGGATATCTCAAAGAAATTCTTAAATGTGAGGACTGTATATAAGGACTAAAAGAGTGGGCCTCCTTTGATTTTTGAGTGGGAAAAAAACCCACCAACGTGGGAATGCTGCACAGCTACTACTCTTTTTGCTTTTTTCTTGTTTTCTGAACCCACCCACGTGGGAATGCTGCAAAGCAGCTTCTCATTTTGCTGCAACTCCCTTTTTTCTAACCGTTGGAAAACCAACAGTACAAGTAGTTTTTGTTTACCAATGGCCACAATACTCCAACAAAATGTACAATACTTTTTTAGTATTTTAGTTCCTACATTTAGGGATTATACTATAAGGACTTCCCATTATTGACACGCCCTGATCCCGGTGTCCAAAGGATAACGGGATGGCCACGTGCTAGCCGACATCCGAGGGTGACGCAAGCCATTTTATGAGTGCATATGCCAAGAACATGTAAAACATGCATATAACTTTCACACATAACTACGCAATATAATACTCAAATCCAACCTTAACAACATAATATAATAAGTTCAATTGTCAACAAAATAAAAGTGATAATGCATGACATGTTCAGAGCATACTAGTAGTTTTGAAAACAAGTGGAAAGTGTAACAAAAAGTGCTATTACAAGAATGTCAAAGTAGAAAGAAGGACACAAAGTCACTGGTATGGAAATGCCTTGTAGCTCGGATCGTATGCCTCGTTCCTAGGTCCTGAGGGGGCGCAAAACAAAACATGAGTGGACCAAGTTGATATATGAGTAATACTGAAACAGTTATCCATCAACGCACTAACCCCCAAAGTTTATGAAAACTCAATAGTATAATATGTAATAGGTTTTCCAAAAACCCTAGCATGCCATAAAACCTTTCATAAAACATATATTGTATATAATATACTTAGTAGTGTTATCATAATCGACCGAAGCCACTCCATCACCCGACCAAAGGTAAATATAAATATATTCTGACTGAAGCCACTACATCACCCGACCAAAGCCAATTATAAGTATCAATCGCTCGTAGATTCATAGTATGGATAACCACTAAGTAAGCACATAAAATCATGAACATAATCTTTTCAATATATATATATATATATATATATATATATATATATATCTCATTGGAGCTCAACAACTCAAACATTATATCACAATTCAAGTTTGTAAATATCTCAGTAAACATAAGTCCAGTAAAGCATGATAATTCATAAAGCATAAATCCAATTTACTCATAAACGTTTCATAAAATGTAGCCATTAAATCATGTTTTTCATGTATGCATTTCTAATAGTTAAATCATGCATTTTGGAAGGGTCCACTCACAGATACTCCGTCGTTGAAGAGCCATGCGAAATAGGAAGGACGAAAACGCCTCTAATAAACACACCTAAAGACATAAAGGGTCCAATTAATAAAACTCTACCATAACGCTTGAATTTTAGAAAACAGACGTCATAAATGGATTCAGGACGTCGAAAAACACAAGGGGGACCTCGAGTACTGTAATACCCCGTATTTAAAAAAAAATGGTTATATGTATATATGTATGTATGTGGGTAATTATTTTTACGTACAAGAACCTATTTTCGATATGTAAAATAGTTTCAATGTAAAATCCTTTTTACAAATTATTTCAAAAAACTAGCTATTTCATGTTCATATATAATTAGAGATATTTTTAGTTTGAATTGGAGAAGGGAGATTAAATGAGTTTGGTTTGATTGTCCTCACATAGGGCCGAGAGTTTGAGGTTGGACTAAATGAGTAATTTTGTCTTGATATTGTCTCTCAAAGATGAGGTGGAGAGTTTGTAACATTAGGAGTTAATGATTTAGTGATTACTCACCACTCTAAATGTGAAGGTGGAAGTCTACTTAAGGGTGAGTTGGCAAGTTTGTATTCATTAGGAATCTAAGAGTTAAATGTTTGAAGAGGTGGGATTCATATCCCTTAAACTTTGAACGTGGCTTTTGAGCTTTTGTCCACTTTGCATGATATTTACCACTCTGAATAAAGGAAGATGACAACTTATTGTGATTAGAACATTTCACGTGGCCTTTGATGCAAGGAACATCTTGCATATTATTCATTAGTTCATAATTAACTTCACATTTGTTGTTTTTCTATTGGACCACATTGGCACAACACTTGTTTTCTTTCTATTGGCACACTTGTGGAGATTCTTTTGAGAGGAAGATGTCATGCAATCTTTCTAAAGAAAGGAGCAAGAACCAACGGAAGAAAAAAGGGAGAAAAAGAGAGAAGAAGAAGAAGAAAAAAAGAAGAAGAAAGAACCACTCCAAAAAGAAAGCCATTCTCCCCTTCATATTACCTTCTTATATGTCTTTAAAATGTTCTTGGGGCTTTAAGCCATCTTTCATTGTACTTGTAAGTCCCTCATGTATATAGTGAAATACAATGAAAGCAAACCCCAGTGGATGTAGTCGATTTGGCGAACCACTTAAATCTTGTTTTGTTTATGCATTTACATTTGGAAATCATTGCCATGAGAAGCACTTCCACCAAACTATCGAAAATCTCCATTTATTTCCCTTGAGAATGATGTACAAAAAGTATGAGACAAATCCCAGAAAAATACATGAGACCTTACCCAACAAATCTCTCCATCAATCTACCATCATTTTCATTTATCAAAAGAAAGATATCCAAAAACTAGAAATTCGTCCTACCTATTTAATAGACCAAAACACCATCATCAATGGATTATATCATAGTACTCTACCATGATATATCCAAATTTCAGGAAAATCCAACGATGCGATCGTCCAATATGTTTGAAATACCAACTTAGTCTCTAATCCCGCAGAAAAACTGGACAGCCATGTTATGAGTACCAAAACCCCATTTTTTAGAGCTCCGATCAAAACACTTCCTTCACAAAAGTTGTTCCTTATCATCTCCTCTATAACATATCCAAAAACCACAGCAATTCAATCTATGTGCTGACTTGTACCCCAGTTTGAACGGCTGATGTTCGGTTGAGCTAGCCTTCTCTGCCAACCTCTTTGCATGGCCAACATCTGCAGTTTCTTTCTCTCCCTTTCATGGAAGTTTTTTAGCAATCTGACTCCTATTACATATGTAGAATTTCATCTATATTAAAGAAAAGGAAGGGGAAGTGGTTAAGGAAGGAAGAGAGCAAGAGGGAGGAAATGAAATTGAAAAAAAAAAAAAAAAAAAGAGGAAATGGTAACATATTGCTTATTATTTACATTAAAGATTATTATTTTGTTAATATTATGATTATATTACTCTTGTTACTAATCAATTTGAT